GTCTCTTTATAACCAGATTCATGTTTTTCAATCTGATTTGAGAACTGGATATTTCCCTAAGATTGCCTTACTAAAGCTATTCACCCTGCTCCTCAGCTGAGTGCCACGCTGCTCATCTGTCTTGGGTTTGCCAGCCTCACACCAGGTGTTAGGATAAAGTCTGTCCCAAGGGAAGGAGACTTGCTAAATCAATTCAGAAATTATGAAACACACTTTTGATAGATGGAGGCCTCCTGCACCAGTCGGTTGACTCCTTCCCCTCCCAACCTGTTGGTTCTGTGTATGTTCCAGCAAAGCTTCATTTTTATTTATAACTACCATGGTTCAGCTCTCTAATCCCACATTTAATTGCCTTCCTGTTATAGATAATACAGAGAATTTACATTTCCACTAATGAACATCACTTTTGTTCTTATGCCTGGTCTGTTGTATTTCTTGCTTTATGTTCAATAACTCTTAAACAAGAATTAAATGAGTTCTATTGGCCAGTTATCCAGGGCAGGTCTTTCTATATTAAAGTTCACGTTTTTGCTATTATCATCGTTATTACCTGCAAATTAAAATTACGGTAATAATTTTTCCATGTTGTCTTCCAGTCAACAGTTAGTTCCCAACTACATCATTCACATACAACACTCTGAGTTTATTTCCTTCACACACTCTCCTTTCTGTCTCCATTTCTTCCTCTGATAACCATCAGTGTAGGCAGTCACTGACATTTAAGTTAATCCTAAACATTATGATTTCATCAGACTGAACACATGATTTGGTTCTTTAACTATTGCTGACCTGCTGCTCCTAAATAAAGGTCTCCTGTTCTCTGCAGAGGGTTAACCAACGCTTTTCCTCAAGGCACGGGGTGTTCATTATATTCATTTTAAGGTGCCTTTATTGCTTCTGTAAGGACACTCAATTTATGCCACTCATTTGGTGACAGTTGCATTCTTGGACTTCAAATCTTCTTTACCTCCCACCCCGCTAAGCAATTCTTCTGATTCATATATCCATCCTTTTTAATCTGCTGGAGGGTGAAATATAATTTGTTCCAACGAGCAGTCTATAGATTTCAGAGCCCACATGGGCCAAGCTGTCTTTTGAAGATGAAAGTCAAAAGATACCCAGGGCACCTCAGGGCAAAGAAAATACAGGTGATGCTTTTTTAATACCAAGCTGACTTCCCTTAGGGATTAATGATGGAGAAAAAGAAATCTTGACATGAATGCCCCGTGCTACAGAACCAGACTGGAAGAAAGAGTAAGATCAGAGATCACAGCTGTTGCTTGGATGGCAACCTTGAGCCAAACAACCTCCTCCTGCCTATAAAGGGATATGAAAAAGGCAAATGGAAATTAGAAAAACAAGCACATCTTCTGCTTCCCTCCCTCAGGGAAGGAAAGAAAAATAATATAACAAACAAGAAAGCATTTCCCACAAATAATATTTTGGTGTGAGTGAAGCTTGCTCCCAGCTTTAGGCCAGTAGAGCACTAAACTAACATCCCATAAGAAATAAGATCCTGGGACTACAGAACAGGGAGCCATATGTGTGAACTCTCTGAGACATCTCCTGGCACATCCTGAAGATACAGACACTAGAGCACCAGCCCCAATAAAGAAAACACTTCCAGGGCTGATAAAATTGTCAGAAAAGTAAACATGCATAAGAAAACATTGCAGGAAAGAAGTGTGCTTAGGCACCAAAAAAAAAATACACAATAAAAAACATTCAGCAAATAAAAGAGACAAACCCCACAGATCTGTGAGACAGCCCAGTGATCTGAGCCCTATCAGAGTGGTGACTCTGTTATGTGTCACCTCTCAGAAGACTGGGCAGGCACTGTTCCCTTACAGTGGGAAAACAAACTGTGAATAAAGAAAAATAAATAAGTGAAGGGTTAGAGGGAGAGGAAAATCAAAGTTCCGTTGTTAATTACACAGCACAATGATAAGGGTAATTTTTCTTAAATCAAAAAATAAATTCTAGGTTCAAGTTCCCTGAAGGATATAAAATATTAGAGGATTTTTTATGGCTGTAATCACAAACTCATTTCTCCAGCCACTACTGGCCGTGTCTAATTAGGGCAAAGTATGTTAATGATACAGCAGCACAGCCCAGAGACGTCTTCAGTTGCAATATTAATTGCATTTAGGGAAAGAAGCATGAATTGTGCTTATACAAGCTAATTAGTATGGGTTTGCTAATTAATACTGGAAAGTCAAACTGCCTTTGTCTTGTCAACTGCAATTAACTGAAGATGTTTAAATTTCTTTTTTTTTTTTTGTTTCTCCAGTAGCACACTCAGTTTTAGTTGACAAGCAATGAAATCCCAGGCTGGAGTAATCCATGACAGTCCATCCCATTTTCCTTTAGCAGGACCTTGTGCCCCAGCCTGGCACTGTGCCCTCCATAGCACACACCACCCTTTGTTTCATATTGTCCCCCAGGGACACAATTCCCTAAGCCAGGGCCTTCTCCTCCAAGGACACAGAGCCTGCAGATCCAGTTTTATTGAGGCCACGGTCCTATCAGATTTATCCCACAAGTATTTTACTTTTAAATATTGCTGTGTAAAGAGTGAATTATTTACCAAGGCATCTGAGATGCCCCCACTGCACACAAGGAAGACATCAAACTCCTCAGTGAGATGCAAACAGCCAGTTCAGCAGCCCCACAGCACATCCCTTCATTTCCAGTGCCTGGGGAGGGGGGCAAAGCCATCAGTTCTTTTCAGGGTGGCAGCAGAGATGTCACCTGCACAGAGGTTCATCCCAGTAGCAGCCCAAAGACTGTATGATAGCACCTGACAGGTGTTTATTCCATTTCACTTAGAGCCATAGGCCTGTCTGCAGAAGAGCTGATGAAAAGCAATACCCACATCTGTCAGCACCCAGATCAGGGGGAGCTCTTCTGCACCTGCAGCCACAGACAGCATCAAAGTGAGGCTGGAGGCTCACAGGTAAAAGGCAGGAAAAAGGAAGGTGAGATGCCAGGAATCCAAACCAGGCAAATAATTTTGCTGAAGTGTCACATTTAAAGGAATCTGAAAATAAGGTCATCCAGGTGAGACATTGATCTGGAGTGGGGGGGGAACCCACATAAAGAACATTTTGCTGGACAGCAGGGAGGAGAGGGGGGCTGATGGTATATCCACAGGAACCCTTGGGCAGGCAGCTCCAGCACAGCCCCACCCAAAGGGGACATACCTCTGTCTCTGTCAACACTGTAGAAGACATAGAGTGACATAACTTTCCCTACAAGGGAGATTTCAACTGAGGATGCAGGAGAATCATCCACCACCAGTGAAAAGAAAGCACTATACTGCCAGATTTTCCCTCAAAAGGGAAAAGGGGGTGGGGGGGAATATCTCTCTTCCCCTCTATGAAGCAATTTCCCTGTATTTACTGAACGAAATTCAAACTGCTGAATACAGCCCACACCTCACAATCTGCAATCCATCGTCTAAAGCACCACAGAAGACAGCCTGTTCATGGGAGGTTGATGTAAACTTTACTGGAAGATCACAAGACCTGCAGTTTTCCACAGAGAAACCCTTGGGAACAGGCAGCAAACACTGACTGCTGCTTTATCCTCTGCTGATGGTTGTTGCACAACACCAATTAATGCTTTAATGCTGGAAGTTCCAGTTTCTCCAGCTCTCTGCTAGATTGTTTAACACAACAAATTTTTGAAGGCAAACAAGCAACTCGAAATCCAGGCTTAATGAGCCCAAAAGAAAAATCTCTGAAATGTTTAAAAAAACCCCAAAGCATCAGAACATTAAAAACACAACAGCAAGTTTTTCCTCTGATACGTCCAGATGCAAAATTGATTGTATAGAATTTGAAACCATAACAAGGCAGCACGTAAATGAGATCAGATGGTGAATAGGATTAATTCAGTTTTCTTTGGAAGTATCAGTGGTGACCTGCATCACCACAGAAAGCAGCTGGGCATACAAAAATGTTTGCCCACAATGTGAGCCCACCCCAGAACCAGAATTAATTAACGCTCTCACTATGAAGAATCTGATGTTGAAACAGCAAGAGGCACAAACTGAAAAAAAAAAAAGATACCAACAGACGTATGGCAACCCATTAACAGCACAGCAGGGGCATGGCAGTCCTGCCCTCCAGTGCCCAGCTAGAGTTCAGCACGAGTCTAAAAAGATCCCTGTTGGAACCATAGTTTATGATTCGGATTTTAGAACAGATGTCTGTTTAGCACCTACTTACTTGCCAGTGATGCAGGCCTATTTTTTCATTAGTAATAAAATTAATCACATCTACAGAACGGGTCTCTACGTCTTGGGTACTGCTCAGGTTTTTCTTGTGACTAGAAAAAGTTGCAGGAATCCCACAATTCACCCATTAGCAAAAACAACGGTTCATGAAACTGCTTAATGCTGACACCTCATTTATTCCTGAGTATGAAGAATTGTACACAGTAGTCATGAAACTGCACATAAACTTCCCTGTCTGGTTTTGTGGCCTCTGTTCTTTTTGGTCCTTGAGGAAAGTGCCAATAAAATAGACAAACCCAGCAGAAAATTAACAAGATACTGCAAAAAAAAAAAAATAGTTCCTGATAATTCTGTGATATCTCATCTGCTTGTCCTTTGCACACTTGGGAGTGAATCAAAGGCCCCCAAAGGAAGGAGTTAATTCAGTATGAAATGAAATGCTTGCTTCTGATCTAGAATTGCTAAAGAGAAAGGAAATTGCAAAAAAAAGGGAAGACAGGACACTAGATCTCATCCAACACTTTTTCCAGGTGAGTATGGAGACAGGGAGTGCCAAGAGTGGCAGTAACAACACAAACTTTTACAATGTTTATTTGCTATTAATTTCTGAGTATTTGGAACTGATCCATTGTTTAAATGAACTGAACTCTGCATATGTTACTGCTCTGTGAAACAATTCAAAAAATAAAATTTAAAACAAACAAACAAACAAACAAAAAAACAACACACCACACAAAACAAGCAAAAATTGAACACTTACCATCTCTGCTCTTTGCTTGTGGTTTCCCACTTCTTCCAGAACCTGAGACAGCTGAGCCTTCAAGACAGAAAAAAATTAGAAAATTAAGTCTAGGATGCAATTTTGGAAGTTTTATAAGACTGTATCCTGTCACACCAGCCCCCAGTCCCCTCCCCCCCCCCGACCACCAAAGACACTGGGACTTTTGGAAAGGAATTGTAAGTGTTGGGTCTTGCTCTGTCTTATCAACATCTCATTCCAGGAGACAATCCCACAGAGCCTGTAACCTACATACACTGGAAAGAACAGGTTTACTGTAGAGAAGAATTCCAGTACATTAGCTAGCCCAAATTTCAATCCCATGGTCCAGGCAGAACTGTGCCTCCACTCCATTTCTTAGGAAGTTGCAGAAAGAGTGGTCTAAATCCCACCCCACTTTGCCAAGTTTAACTTTAGAGAAAGAAGAGGTTTGGCTCCACAGCTCCGGAAAGGAGAGAGTGTGTGTGTGTTTGAAGGTAACTTCACAGGAAATGTTCTGTTGAAGTTCTGGGGTTCAGGATTGGGTTTGAAAGCCTTCCAAACTGCTGTGGTAAAATACCAAGAAAATACGCTCTGTAACATAAACTTCCTGAATTTCTGTGAGGAAAAGATCCCAGTGCAAGGGTTTTTCTTTTTTTAAGGGGAAATCTGAAATTTAAAGAATCTCAAAACAAAGCCAGAAATATCTTCTGTTATTCCTGCGTAATTTGAGGGGAAAAAGAAACTTGACTCAGAGAAAGATCTTTCACAGAGTTTTGTTTATGAAAAAGGATTTTAAATAAAATGGGTATTTTGGAGATGGTTAAGAGAAGCCACATATAATACTTCAGTGCTATTACTTCCCACAACTTTAATTTCCCAACATTCTGCTAGCCTGCAATAAGCCTTTCTCTACTTAGCAGAAAGCCCAAAAAATAGTCACAAGTGATGACAGAGAAGCTAATTTAAAGTATGTAAACAAAGAGGAGAAATAAAAACAACTTTCCTACAAACTAATTCACATAATTTCAAACAAATATCATTAAAACCCTCTGGAGTCCCTCAAACAATCTCTCACCACACATGAAATGGGTCTTTTGAGTACCACATGCAAACCAGAGACAAACAGCAAGCAGTTTATTACAATGAAAAGGAAAACATTCAGCTCTGAAGGCTAACTGCTCCGAAATGCAAGCAAACAAAAAAATTACAGTCTTAGGGTTCAGCACAGCAGAAGTTCCATTTTGCAAACAAACAACCCAACAGTTCACAATTTCCCTGGCCCCAGAGCTCAGCGGAAACTGAAAAAGTTTCAGCTCCTTGCTGTGCAGGGCAGGGGATGATGTGACATTATTTAAGGAACAGACACTCAAATAGGATGAAAAGGGTTTTAATACAAGCCTGGGACCTGGCACAGGAGAGCGAAACACACTCATTAAACACCACAGGAGATGCCAGTCCCAACCAAAACTGGAGTGACTGGACAAGCAAGGGAAAAGAGAAACTGAAATTATCACCAAGTTTGATGCTGGAAATCAGGAAACTATAAATCTGCAGATACCTGGGAAAGATTTTTTTCCCCCTCTGCTACTGAACCAGGTACAATGACAGCAGCAGGTGGGAGCCAGGAGACAGTTGCTTGGGGAGAGTTAGAAAACATGCCCTCAGAAATGTGGTTTAGGAGAGGTGCTGGCATCAATTTTGCAAAACAGTCCAAGACCAACTGAATATTTTTGATTAAAACCTACCCCAACTTTTCTGTATATTTATTAGCCTTATCTATATGAAGACAACCTTTAGGTGGGAACCAGTAGCCTATTCTAAACCAGATATAGGAAATACTGAATTAAGGATTACATTAAAAGTTACGTATTTTCTTACAGTATCTACCATTCCTGAAGTTGAGGGTCATGTTGCTGTTCAACCTCCTGTTCACACAGACTCCTACAGAATCACAGAGTAACTCACACTGCAAAAGTGAACCCCCTCATGGCTCAATCCTCTGAGCTCTGGTGGGCACCAGGCACCCAGCCTGGATCAGCCCACCCCATTCTGCCGAGCTCTGCTCACCTTCACAGTGTAAATATTTTTCTTTGTAATATCAAGACAACAGTACCCTAAGAGCCTGTTTAACTAGATGGGTATAAGAGCATTTTAAAGTACAATACCTTGATAAAAGTCAGGAAAAAAGGATAGCAAAGACTCCAACACATTTTACTTCAGGAAGAGGCTGAAAAAAACCTTTTAGACAAGAGAGAAATAACACAAAGGGATGGGAGAAATCGAAAATACAAGTAGGAAATATGCCATAATTTATCATGGCTTGGGGAAAATAACCATTTCAAGGTGCTATGCCAGCAGAGACCCAGAGGCAAAACCTGGACAGCAAGTCCAAGCCAGCAGCATGATAACAGCAGACCAATATGATTTGGAGAAGCAATCAGATAAGAACTAAATCACAAAGTAGGTTTTCTTCACTGCATTTATTTCTAGGCAGCTCATCTCAAAGGGAAAGAGTCAGTAACTAGTGGGAATTCAGAGAGCAGCAACTAAACTTACTAGACTGCTGGAAGAAATGATTTATGAAGATTAAAAGATTTTTAAACATATGGTTTGACTACAACGCTCGCAGAAGAGCAAAAGGGACATATTTAATGCATTGAGAGCTGTTGGAGTGACACAGCTGGAGACAAGGAGGCGTTTCCAGCACAGCTGATGCTGTTGGATGCACTTGCAGTCCAGAGTGGGGACCCTCCTGCTCCCTGTCCGTGCCCACCTATACAGGCAGGTGGGGAAGCACAACACAAAGCCCAAACCTTCAGTGGGGTCCCCGCTGCCTGCACTCACCAGGCAGTGGAACAGCTGATCTGAATGCTTTATCACGTCCAGTTTGTAAACATCAGCCCTACCCCCAGACTTTTTATTAGCCTAAATCAAATATTGAGCCTCGCTCAGCTGTTACAGGACAGCTGCTTGTGAAAGTGATTCACTGCCGTATTCCTTCTAGGCCACAAGAAAGTACAAACTAATCACCAGCAGCATGACAGATGCACAAATTCTTTAATTATGAAGGAGAAATTAGGCTCTGAACTTATCCCCACACCTCACTTAATCAGAGTGCTCCGGAGGAGCTGCCAGCCCCCACAGCCGTGGAAGGAAGGAGCTGCAGAGGGCCCTGGCCGGGTGCCTGGCAGCCTGCTGAGCCCCTGCTCCCAATTCCCCCCACCCCAGGCATTTGCCAGAAAAGACCTGAAAGAAACAGTGTGATGTCGTTTCTTGGAATCTATCTTTTCAGGAATGAACTGCTGGGTTTCTCGGTTCGCTCATCTCCGGCCATTTCCAGTCAACAAAAGCGCGAGCGATGGGCCTGAGCCCCTCGGGGTGGGTGGGAAGGAGGTGCCCTGGCACCAGCAGGCACAGGGGGCCAGCAGATGCTGGAGCAGTTTGCCAGTCCCATCTCGGAGTTGCACACTGGGAAAAGCTACAGCCCTACCTGAAGAGCATGCAGTGACAGGACAAAGGGGAACGGATTCAAGTTGAAAAAGAGTAGGTACAGATATTAGGAAAAAACTCTTCCCTGTGAGGGTGGGGAGGCCCTGGCACAGGTTGCCCAGAGAAGCTGTGTCTGCCCCACCCCTGGAAGTGCTCAAGGCCAAGTTGGACGGGGCTTGGAGCAACCTGGGATAGTGGAAGGTGCCCCTGCTCATGGCAGGGGGTTGGAACGAGATGATCTTTAAGGGTCCTTCCAACCCAAACCATTCTATCGTTCTATTCGTAGCTCAGCTCTGTGTTAGGGGCTTTTCAATCAGTCACATCCACCTTGGTATCTCAGGAATCTCTCAGTAGGATAGATGTCTGTGTTGAATTTTCAGGCTGTGCATGGAAGTTAACTAAAAGCTCCAAGGAAATTCCCTTTACTTAATACACATGTTCAATTCCCACAGAACACTGAGCTCAAACAGTAAGAAATCTGATATGCAAACAGATACTAGGAATCAGATATACAAATACATGTAAAGTGCAGTTTACCCACAGAAGGTAGCTCAGCCAGGTAAAAGAAAATCAAGTAGCAAAGCAGGGGGGGAAAAAATCCTCTCAAGTATTCAGTCAATTACTTTGAGTTTTCAAAAAAAAAAAAAAAAACACCACGGTTTGTCAATTCAAAATATTCGTCTTACATGACAACACTGTCTAATCTACTGTCAGTGGATTGTCATCCTCAAAAGAGAGCAGCAGGAAGGGAAGAACCTGTGCTCCGGCCTCGCTGGGATACTGCAGCTCAGGCTGAAAGAGGAGCAGGAACAGTTTCCAAGGAGAGGAACCGATTCAGCTCCAAGGAGACATTTCTGAATTGTTTAGCTTGCTTCCCTGCATCAATAATTTGTCTTCCGTACCTTCCAAAAGTCAGCCTTCAGTGGCAGCGCTGGAGGAGGTTGGCTGGGGAGGGTTTAATGAATGAAACTAAAGCAATCTGGTGGCGACAATGCAGCTGCTAAACCGACTGCACCGACAGCCCCCCACTCCTCCCCGGGGGCTGAACGTGAGTCGACTGCCCTGACCGATAGGCAAACAGCTCAAATGTGAGCCTCATTTGTAGGGAAAAATTAACTGCTCAATCTCTAATGAACAGTCTTTCTCTACACAACAATACCCTCCGCTCTACAAGCAATTAGCAAATCGAGGCACTCTCTTTGTGGACCTGCATTAATTTACTCCTCGATGTGGCACATTAAGTAGCTCATAGGTACAGCACAGTAGTAGCAACAGCCAACCCCATAAAATAAAAGCTTGCTTCAAAGAGTTAGGGAAGCAGAATTATGTGCGCTCCATACAGGGAATAAATCATAACAGCCTTCATTTGGAAACATCATTTTAGTCTTATGCTTTCATCAAAAAACATGATTATCTTAACAGTCACATTAATACAAAGTCAGTGCTTTACTAGGCAGAGAAACAAGTAGCACATTCACTACCTCAAATTTAAAAGAACAATTTTTGTTCTTCCTCATCAGGGGGAAATACCTGAGAATATACACAGCTGCCTGCTCTGGGGTTGTGTT